AGTTATAATCAATACTAACCAAAATAGAATCAATCAAAAATGTAGAAATATTACTCAAGTTATTACAAAAATAGTAGAGGTCAAATACATTCTAAAAATAGGCATATCATTGAAGTTATTATGGAAAGAACCGTAATTTATATTTAATGGTGCGATTGTTTTGGAATATTCAATCGTTTTAATAGTTAATTATTTTAAGGGGTTGACATAATGTAGTGAAATTAATGGATTTTATTACTTGTCTTGTCTTCTTTCCAATAGATAAAAAACCCAATATTGAAAGTTACACGTTTAAACAACTTGTCGTATCAACTAGACTTGTCTGTTGAAAGTTGAACAAACGTGTAACTTAAGTTACAATATTATTCATATTTTATGTGTCAATTTGAAAACCAGATATTAAAAACTTAATCACTCACTTGTGTGGCTCTATGGTTATAGAGTAAAGCCACTCCAGCGCGTGTTTAGCTCTACAGAATCAACAACAACATGATGTCAACATTCAACATTTTTGTAGGAAATTTTGTTGAATGTTGAGATGTTGTTGATTGTGTAGAGCAAAACACGCGCTGGAGAGCGGGCGTTTTGTTCTCATTGTAACGAGTTAGTTTCACGCCCGTATTCACAAACATTATTATGAGGTCTCACAGTGCGCGTGGACGCACAGAGTGACACATGAACCAATCACAGCGCTCTATTCAATGCTGTGCGTTCGATTTGCTTCTTCACACAAGCAAGCATCGTTTGTAAATACGGGAGTCAGTCTCCAAAGACTACTAACATTAAAAACGTTTGTACAAACATGTTGACACACCTCTGAGACCGTTTGTACACTAAGTATAAAGACATAATCCAAGCATAGCAACCTAAAATTACCCGTTCTACCTAGACAGACTGAAACCCAGCTTAGGCACGTAGAAAGCTCATTAGCATGGGATTAGTATCTCACTGCGACATCATTCTTTTTCCAGTGTACAATTATCCCACATTTTATAGTTTTATTAGAAACAAAATAAGAAAGAAAGAAACTTAAGAAAAATTTTGAAAGAAAGAAAAAGAGGAAATATAATTTTGGCTTAAGTTTACAAAAGGTCAAAACACAATTTTAACGTAGATTTTTTTAGTAAAAGGAACCAAAGAGGCAAGACAGTAAACTGAAAACTAATTAGGCTGGGTTGCACCATCTTACTTTAACTTTGACAAACGTCAAAAATATGTATCCATACAAAAAACACCAGTTATCGTTATAGTTACGGTCAAAGATAGGTGGTGCAACTCAGCCTTAGCATTTCCAAGCTAAAACGGACAGATTTTTTGAGGATTTGTACCTTGTAAAGACTGTAAACCCTTGAAGAGGAGGCTGACTAGTGACTGAGTTTCTTGCGCTGCTTCTTCTCATCACTGAGGCCCATTTATTGTCCCGAAGCAGTGGTAGGGTTAATACTGGGACGTGTAAAAGGGCTTTTTAAAAGCCTATTTGCAATAATAAATGAGTTTTATGAGTTATATTGTAGGTCAATATCATCTACGAAACAATTTAGTTGATTTCGAATTAAAAGCACTCTAAAATAAATTTCAGCAAGCACTTAACTGCTTTCTAGAGCAGAATCTGTTATTTCTAGAATAAGACTATCCTAAATTGAAACCAACCGGCGAGTCAGCATTAACTCCGTAACGAGCGCGACACAACTACCCTCAACTAACTGGAGTCTAACTACCTACATCGAACTGTTTATGTAACTTCACTCAGAAGTTTGAAGGCAAGAAGGCTTTATGCCTATACCTAGGCTTTATAGCTTACGGTGGCCAAGGACGTAACACCAGTATTTGCAAACAACTATGAGATCTCACAGTGAGCGTTGGACGCACAGGGTCCCAAAAACCTATTCATAGACAATACTTGAGTGGCTGCTGCTCTATTCAACGTTGTGCGTTGCCACTTCAGTAGCAAGTATCGGTTATGAATGCGGGTGTTAGAGCTTACCCAGACAAATGTTTCGAGAACCCAGGAAAGACGTCCTGGCCAATCAGAACAAAGAGAGCCGACTTCAAATAATGGGGGAAAAGGCTAGGGAAAAGAAGGCTTTATAGTTTATAAGATCGTCATAAATTATAGCCTATATGTTATTCTGGGTTATAAACAATAATACTGTAAAGTTTCATCAAAATACGTTAAGTAGTTTTTGCGTGAAAGGGTAACAGACATCCAGACATCCAAACTTTCGCATTCATAATATTAAGTAGGATACGTAAGAGCTACACCTACTCCTTATGTTGCCTCGAAGAAAACTAATTAATATAGGGCTTTACCCATAAAACAAAAATCATAAGGACACGTTACGATTTTGATGAATAAAGTACTAGTTAGGGGGCGTCCTTAAATTACGTGAGGCTTTTAGGGGGGGGAGGGGGTCAACGAAAACCTCACTAAATCTCACGTGGGGGAGAGGGGGGGTCTCGGAAAATATCACGTAATTTTTCCCGCAAGAAATAGAGTAAAATTGCCAGAAAACTGGGTTATTGAAGTAAAAAAAAAATGATTTTTTTATGATGATAATGACAATTTATTCCAAACCGTCTAATCAAATTAAACTAAAAATGCCTCCATCTGCATTTGTGAACACTAAAGATGCAGAATAAATGTCGAAATTAAGAAAATTCGAAATTAAAAAAAAACGTCATCGGCATCGCTTTTGCGTAATAAATTGGCCAAGTGTGTGTCGTCCCACGCGCAGTGTAGGGTTCCGTAGTTGTCTGTCGTTACCACAATATATTTCAGAAGCAAGCAATTACTTCATCTAAAGTCACTTTTCATATTTTCTTCTAAGGAATTTTTACTGGTTAAGAAATTGTATAATACATGAGTCAAATGACTATTACTCTTAAACTAAGTAATGTATCTTAACCGTTATAGTTTCCTTGAAAAAAATCATCCCCACTTTACATGCAGGGGAGCTACCCTAGAATTTTTTTTTTTTCAAAATTTTATTTTACCTTACCAAAATTACCATACCTTCACAAAATTACAGCTCCCCAGTGCCAATAGTTTCCAAGCGAAACCTCGGACAAACAGACAGACATATCGAAACTATAAGGGTTCCTTGTCAGGACTACGGAACCCTAAAAAATGACATTACATACGTATGAAAATATTATGTATTCGTAGTTAAAGTAACCAATAGTCAAATTTGACAGATGTCAAATGACAAGTGGTTAAATAACAGAAAAAAATGTTTTTTTAACAATGTTTAACTAGACTTTTAGTACATTTTTTTACTATTTGTTTACATTTTATTAATATTTTACCATTAGTAGCAAAATTTAACAATTAGTTATTTTAACTATGAATCAAAAAATTGGTCCTAGGTTGAAGCAATTGCTTGTCTTACTAAACGACGGGAAGCTACGGAACCCTGCACTGCGCGTGGCACGACACTGGGTTACTGTTTTTTTTCATATAAATCTAATATACTCGAAGCATAGACATTGCAAAATAGTCATTTTATTAAATATCACGTGAGATTAGGGGGGTGGGGGNGGTCTTCAATTTGCTTGAAGCAACCGCCACACACTTTCCTGGTTTTAGGCATTTTTGGCGAATACTAATTAAAAACGTAAGCAAATAAAAACAAAAAAAAACAAAAAAAAAATTCTCTTTACTTGGATTCGAACTTGGTTCTCACGACATTACCCGGCAGATATACCGAGCACGCCGCGATTGCACTTGTGTAAGACGACGAATATAATTGTTAGGTTGGTGAAGTTTTTTGTTTGTTTTTTGTGCTGGGTAGCTATAGTCTATCCAATATAGCTTGATTAGAATGACAGCTGCCATCAAAAGTAACGACTTAACTTTGTAGTAGCGATCAATCAGAGCTAAATATTGGCGAACGTGAAATAATTCACGTCTGACCTACAAACAATATTTTCGACGACATTGCTTCCAATAAAAATGTTAATTTCGTGTAGGTAAATGCAGCGTTAAATTACACCAATAAGTAGTAATTCGAAATCATAAAAATCAAGCTAGATTTATTAACGACGTCTCTACAAGGTTATCTCGAGTTACAAAAATGTTAGTGATGGGACATATCTATCGACAAATGTCATATTAAAATTAACACTTATTTTTTAACATATTTAGCTAAGTCAAGTTATACGTTTTTCTGGCGTTTTTTTTTTCTGAGCGGCACAGGAGCGGTCTTTGTGGAAATCCTTGGGGGAGGCCTTTGTCCAGCAGTGGACGTCTTCCGGCTGAAACGAACGAACGAACGATACGTTTTTCTAAATGTTCACTATTAAAAACCAAAAAACATTTCATTCTTAAATAATCAAACATCGGAAATCAATCACCGGTAATTTTTTGGATATTCATGGCACCGTTGCTCTAGAAGAGATGCCCACCGCCCTCTAGCGAGAGGAAAAAACCACTGAAGAACACTGATGATGATGACTACGACTTAGGTTGTACACCCTTGACATAAATTTTAAATTTTACTGTCTTTAAATATAAATTTTAATTGTCATTTTTATGAATAAAGATATGAAGAAAAATTGGGTGTATTTTTTTATATCATTTTTTCGAAAACTTATCGATACATCTATGTGAACCGTACGAAACATACCCAGCACTAGTCACATTCGTTTGACAACTGTCATTCTAATCAAGCTATATTGGATAGACTATAGCTTGTGTATTGTTTTGCAAACACCAACACAACAAGTCATAATCCGTGGCACTGATGGAATTATTTGCGTTTTTCACTCACTAGGCAATTGCTATATTGTATATGTTTACACTGTTTGATGCTCCAAATCCGTGTGATTATAATGGTGTACAGTATATGTAGATTAGTGCACTATTTATATTTTTAAGAATAAAAAAATACGGAGACTAACGCTGTGTGTCCTGCTAGGTGCAGCGCCCCCTAGCGACCCTCTATCCCTGGCCTATATCAACCAAATGGAGGCCATTTGGTTGATATAGGCCAGGGATTTTCACAATCGACAGGTAGTATTCTACCCAGATCCATGTAATTAAATTAAACATTTAAAAAAATGCTAAAAATTAAAGTCACATCTGCAAGCAGAAACTTACCTCATGGAAGTTATTCTTATCAAACAGCGCGTTTCCTAAATGTAGCTTCTGGAAGACCATTTCATTCTTCGTGAGCGTCCCGGTCTTGTCTGCTAGCAGGTACTGTATCCTGCCCAGTTCTTCAGGTATGGTGGTAGACCTCATGACCGTGCCTTCTATCTGCTTGTCGCGCTGGATTGTCCACGAGTAGAAGGCTTTGCCCATATCCAGGTTTACTCGTAAGCTAAAATAAATTGAGATTTGAATTTACTTACTCATGAGATTTTTTACTCTGTCTTAAGTCGTTTATGTATCTTGAGAGAAAGGAGAGATTTGTTGACTGAAATGGTCAAGATATCGATTCTAGAACTGTTCCTGGACTTACTGGAATTATAATGATGAGAGATGAAAACATTTTGAATGTGCAATTTCGGAAAAGGCAAAAAATATGCGCATTTCTGTGATGTTCCTACTTTTTTCTTAGACCCTTAATTATTAGACATTTATTCTTGTTGATAGATCGTAGCTACGGTTTACAAAAAAATATGAAAATAACTTACCTGATAGGAATAATATACGAAAACAGTAGCACGAATCGGAACAAGAACCCAAACCAGGGTCCATTGAAGCCTTTCAGCACGATCAAAAGGACTGAGATCATGACTGTGGCCACAAACAGCACTTTGGTCAAGTTGTTCACTTGCAGGTCCAGTCTTCCCACTTTAGATCTGGGCGCTGCGTTGTTCATCACGCTGCGGGTCTCGCTGCCTGTGAGATAATAATAATAATACTGTGCTAAATAATTTATTAAATTCAGCTGGGCTAGTTTTCGTTTTACCTTGTAATATCTCTCTACTCACGAAATACTCATATAATAATACTGTGCTAAATTACAGTTAGTACCTAAATACGGAATAAGAATTCAGCTGGGCTAGTTTTCGTGTTTGGAAAAAACCTGTGCTTGTACCAGTATGTCTTTTTTTATTACCAGTAGGCCTAAGAAACGCGCCGTGATAACTTTTATCAACGTCAAAATGTATGGCCAAAATCGATAAAATAGCGTGATAACCGCTTATCGCGGCGCGCATCTTAGGCCTACAGGTAGTGCCTGTCTATTCACGAAATACTCATAAAGGAAAAATAAGTTTCAAGTGCTTCTCATACCATTAACATAATTCGAATATGTGACTTGTTCTTGCTCCATAATGTGCAGTTATGCACATACCAGTCAATACTGTAAGATCTTGTGCACATACCAGTCAATATTCCTCTAGTGTTGTGTATATGTGCCCGTGTACCACGGGCCGGAAGACATAGGAAGATGTAGGCAGATCCCTCACTAGGTGGACCGACAATCTGGTGAAAGTCGCGGAAGTGTCTGGATGCGGGTGGCGCAGGACCGGTCGTTGTGGAAATCCTTGGGGAGGCCTTTGTCTAAAGCCTGGTCCGTGAGCACGTAGAATCCCGTCCAATGACCCCAAGCTACCCATCCTTATCGCTCGCGCGTAATTATATTGCTGTCGCGACTGTGCGACGCGCGCCGGCAGTGAGTGTGCGAGCGCGACAGCGGACGGGATTCTACGTGCTCACGGACCAGGCTTTAGCAGTGGACGTCTTTGGGCTGAAACGAACGATGTACCTGTGTATATGATCAGTCCAGTAGCCTGTCCAGATGCCACCACACTGCCACTCCACAGAGTGTTCTCAATATCTAGCGAGTCCATCTCCTCTTCGTCCAGTCTTGTGCAAGTGCCGATAAACGAATGTATGTCTTTCTCTGGCTTCTCAACAAATATCTTAGCGTTGATGTCGAGTAGGTGAGCATCGGTGGGTAGCTTTTGTGTTGAAGGCAAGGGGATTCTGGAATTTAATTGATATATGTAATTATATTTGTTATAAAAGTAACATTGATTGAAGTACACAAATGGTATAAATGTGTAAAATGTTTATTTATTATTAATTCATAAACACATAAAAGTGTGTTATATAATTAAAAAGTTTACAGTTTTTGGGACAGGTAAAACAACTGGCTGACTTTAATGAGAAGCACTTGAATTGAAGGTCAAAGTCATATTAAACGAGTTGGCACATGTATTAAAAGGTCAATTTATAATTTGTGGAATGCAATACACCAAAATTACAGATGATTTTAAAGGTGTAGGTAATTTCAGATCATCACCTAGGCCAGTGACCGTGACAATTTATTATCAAATCAAACAGTAAACGGACAATTAATAATAAACAACACATAATTAAGATATAATTACAGCTATTTTCCCAGATAAAATTCATTCACATGAATCCTCATATCAATATGTTTATATTTGACTGTATTACTGGAGCTAGTTGTATGACTAATGTTGATACAAAATAGCAAACTGATAACAACTAGTTTCCTTATAGTTTTGTTGTTACAAGTATCTCCTATGTAAACACAGTATATAACTTTTAATTTAAAACATATTGCAATTCTGACGTCGTCCCTGATTTTATTTACAGGAAAAACCTCACATGTATTATTATCATTAATACAATAAGTATTAGGGTGTCCCAAAAAAATCAGTCTTTTTTTTTCAACGCATACCCTCTAAGTCTAACTATTAGCCTGGGACACCCTAATAAGTATCACTAAATACTTTTCTTTTTTAGGCTTTGTTTTAGTGTGCTGTCTTCTAAACCTATTTTTGTTGTATATTTTAGCTTCAACCTACCTCAATTTCCAATCAATTTCTCCATCAAGCTGGTCTGTGCGTATGAATACTGTGCCCATAGTTTCATTGGTTCTTAAAAGAATCATGTCCGCTGGCACACGTTGACCCTTGTGAAGCATTACTATATCTCCAACACGGAGGGCCGATGCAGACACCTGTTCTGTGATGAATGGCCTGTATCCGTCTACAGGTGAGTCTAGTACTATTCGTTCATAACGTTGTCTGTTGACTTCTCTGTCCCTCCTTAAATAAAATATAGCATTTTTAAAATTATCTTTGTAACATGCAAAGATAGGCAGGCTTATTATAATTTCTTAATAATACAGAAAAATAAGCATTCATTTTATAGCAACATTATTACAATAATGGCCATTGAAGCATCCATCACATGATGGATGCATGAAATTGCTTTCAAGTTAGTATAAAACAATTTACGACTATTGTTTCTTATCTCATAGTGACTAAGTAGCAATTTAATTCAATATATTTTTGTACATTACAAAAAGTTACTTTTGATAATAAATTAATAATGATAAAGCTTTTTTATTTCTGAAAATATAAACATTTTACAGTTATCACTTTCTAAAGATAAAGTAATAACACTGATAGAAAAACCACACATAAAAACTTTTACAGTCTCTTATTTCAGTCTACCTTCTGGCAAAGGCCTCCTCCAACTTCTTCCATGGCTTTTACATATCAATATTTACTAGGTAAATTACTGCTTACCTAAATCTTCTAAAGTCATCAACAGCCTCCCTAAACAGTGTAACAGCCAGTACAAAACACAGCGGACCCCAATATGTGTACAAATATCCAATACGGATGCTGGGAATAAACTGGCTCACTGCCATCACCAGGAAATACATATTGAGGAAGAACTTGAACTGTTCGTACAGCACCAGAGGCAGAAATGTGATGATGTTGTATTTCTAAAACAATATAATTTAATCTGTTCATTTTTATTCTCAATAATTAGGTCAGTCTTAGAATATACAACTGATTATTGTAAGAATGGTATGAAGAGTATATTAGCATAAATCTGACATCAAATAGATCGTAATCAGTATCAATTGAGGTCATAAATACTCACTTGATTACAGACATAGTTGGGAGGATACTCTTCTTCAGGAATCTGTCCTAAATAAATAATTCTAGAGCTCAACTCTTTAGTCCGGAATCTTGAGAATAATAACCTATAAAGAAAATATCTTTATCTTAGCAATTATTAATTAAACAAAGGAAAACATTCATCTGATACGTATTGATCATCCGTACCTTGACCATAAGGATTTCTTCTTAGGCCTTGTGATAAGCGGGGTAGTTTCCATTTTTACGCTGCAAACTTGGTCACTAACACACAATGTTTAGGCATTATACAAATCTATAGAAGATCTCTAAAATAATTAATTCATGCAATAAAAATAAACGGAAAAGTTTATAAACACGAAAAAAACACAAAGCAACGTAAAGTTCTCCTCTGTTTGACAGCAAAGCAGGGGAGGGGGAGGGAAGGTATCATAGACATTTTTTGAGCTATAAACCACTAGCTGTCATGGCACTAGTGGTAAAAAACCGGTGTTAATATGATAGCTCAATTAAACAATGTATTTTTTTTAATAATTTTTAAACCCTTTTTACGGGAGTTTTTCACGAGAAAAATTATTTCGTCACATTTTCTTACATTTTTAAGCTTAGTTATGTGGTATGAAACTTGTTTTTATTTAATTTAGCTGAATTTTAGCTTGTATTTTTTTCAAACAATACCGGTTTTTTGAAGTGACGTTTAAATTTTCAGCATTGGCAAGACTGAAATAGGTAAATAAATATGGCGGACAGACATTTTTGGGTGTGTAAAATGTATTTACTGTGTTTCAGTCGTGAATAACATAAATAATGGACTTTATGTGGTAATTAACACAATACAACAGTAATCTATACAAATATAAATGAGTGTTAACTAGTTGGTGTCACGTGAGCTTTTAAATCAATGAATGTGCCTGTTGTGACTGACGAGAGATAGGAATAAAACTCCGATGCGTCGTTTCTCTCCATCAGTTTGTTAAAAAGTAAGACGCGACTTAAAGCGATGTTGTAATGTTTATTGTGGTTGTACGCTGAGAATTAATGGTTGTGTGTGTAGTTGTGCTGCCAGGTGTAGCCGTAGTAATTACATTTGCAAGGGTCTTATTAGATTCTGATGCGCCGCGACCGGCGAAGGCGCTAGGCAGTGCGTCTGTCTCTGTCATAGCGACCGGGCACACCTCCGTTGACCTATTTTCTGGTTAATGCATTGAAGCTAACTATTTATGTCTAAGGGTGTAAAGTAGGGCGCCGCCGGTTCTGGTTGCAATTATTGAAATTTGGTGAAAATTAAATTTGAATTGTGCTGTGAGTGATAAGTTGGAAATAAACTTGTTTGTTTAGTGCCAGTGGCTGAGTGAGGTGGGGAAGTGGTTGTGTGTGGATTTTATTCATGTCTGATAAATGTATTATGGAGGTCTATGACCATCAGATCTTCTGATCATCTTCTGATATGGATTTTAGAATCCTTATTTATGTTTTGAGCAGTTCAAGGATTTTTGTCTGCTTTTATTCTATGAATATTATTGAATATGAGCTATTATTACCTACATTTAGTTATCAATGAATTTAAAACAGAATGAATTAATTTATCATGATTGAAAATATGATTTCCTACATATAGAGCTCATATAGATTTTTATTTGAATATTTTATAATGAAAAGTAATAGGAGAGCATTTAAATAATATAATAACAGATAGATCCCACAATTATACATAACACAATACATTATTCTCTCACAGGCAATAAATCGTTAACAATTAGAAGAGAAAATAGCAATAAATGCCTAACGTAGCTAGAACAATGCAATCAAGAAGTGCCGTCAAGAGTTTACAAATAAAACAGTGCGAGAAAACATCAGTATGATGGAATCAGACCTTCCGCCTGGTAGCTGTAACTCCACCGGACATCTGTCCACTATTGGCTATCACACCCTGCCTGGTAAGTTTGATTTTTATTTTGAATAACAAAATTAACCATGGTATTTTTTTAAACTATTATTAAAATTAATTTATTAAGTACCTACCTAATTATTTTATTTATTTTTCCTTTATTATTTTTCTATTATGTTTTTTTTCTGTAACTACAGAGAGGCTACACAGCTATACCTTTTAACATTATAACAACAAATATAACAATATCAATGGAAAAGTAATGTTGTTATTATTCTTCAAGGATGGAACACACAATAACTCTTCAAACTGAATATTGATACACTTAATATTGAGATGACAAACCAAGGTGTGTTAAAACTACTTTTTCTATACTATGCCTATTACCTATTTTAGCTAAAAAAGCAAGCTACAAGCTCACTATACTCAAGCTAAACCATTATGTAGCTGTACTTGTAAGCTAGAAATTGTTTTTTAACTTAATCATGCATAATTTAATTTTTGAAAAAGCAACATGTTTTTTTATACCATACATTACTTATCGGTGATTCATGTAAGGATGATGGTCCATACATTTTGACTCACTTCATTACAATGAAATTGATTGTGTTCAGGAAATTTTTAATACAATATAATTACAAAATATTACACATTTGACCTGCCTACTTTGATATCGAAATTTATTTTTATTTTACTTTATTATCTGTTGTTGTGGAAATAAATTTAAAATGAATTTTTAGCTTTAAAACTGTAGTATCAATTCCTTATCATGACAAGTATCCATGGATTTATTAATTAAATTATAAGTTATTTTCTGTGATTGGTTCAATATGGAAATCAACCAATTTGAGTGTCATTCATAATAACATACTCATGCCTAAACCAGAAGCAGATTTTGTATTTTATAAATTTGTATCTAAATGTAATAATGCTGGCTATTCAAGTAGATAGTGCCATTTATAGCAGCTACTTCCCATTTTTAAAAGTTAGATTATTTGGTTTGTCAAAATCTAGCTCTATCAACTTTTGCTGTTGACTATACCTAGTTGCATCATACCAATCACTTGGTTATCTGCTGATATCATTGAGTTTTCAGTGACACTAATGCACTACAGTGCACTTTGCTGAACTGCAGTTACCATTACCACTTAAATTACCATAAATACAGGTCACTAATGAATCCAACATGCATTTACATTTACATAATCTTGCTAGGTTAATTGTGTGATAATAAGATAATAAATTGTTTCATTGCATCGAAATCTGACCACCTAAATAACAGTAGGTTTTGTGTCGATTTCATTTGATAATACTATCAGTAACTTATAGAGATATCGCCTTCTTCATCCTGTTATTGTTCAGCTCTTAATAACCTGTTGATGATACGGAGACTAGTCTATAAAAGTATCATTAATGCGTGATAATATTTATGACAAGATTTAAAAGCTGATCCCAATGGTGTCAGTGTCTCGGATCCGAGGAACGCGGGTTCGATCCTCGCTACGCCGCTGGACTATTGTGATGAACCCAATCGTAACACAAGCATATTTAGCTTACCAAAAGAGGTTACCAGCCAGGCTAAGATGCGCGCCGTGATAAAACCTTATCGATTATTTTAGACGACAAATGTATGGGCTTATCGCGTAAAATCGATGGCGTGATAAACGCTTATCGCGGCGCGCATCCTAGACCTACTGGACTATTCATTAAAAAAACAGATATGTACCATCCTAGACTGCATCTCACTTAACACCAGGTGCGATTGCAGACAAATACCTGTCTTGTCTAGCATAAAAAAAAAACAGATGAATAATTAGGTCCATTTCCAGGTCGGATGCATCATTCCGCCAGCACGCCGGCCGGCGTGGATGGCGCCGGCGGCGGGTCACGCACGCCGCCGGCGACGCCGAAAAAGGGCGGCAAGATGCTCGCCGTCAGGGTGCAAATGCTGGATGACTCCATTTCCATGTTCCAGATACAGGTATGTGGGCGTTTGTTTGTGCCTCAAAGTTAGGCTAGTACTCGTGCCTATGTGCTTTACCAGTTAGGGCTTTCGCCCACGATGACTACAGTATCGCTACTAACGCGTGTTAGTCGCATTTGCAACGCACTACAGAAGAGATGCCAACGCGCTACTAACGCGCTACAGCAGCGCGACTGCATCGCTACATAAAGTCCTTAGGGCATCATTCGAGCCCGATCTTTTAAAATTTTATACAATTTCAGTATTTGCATCACACTATGAACTTGTAGTGTGATTTAACATTTCATTCATACACCTAAGAAAAGTTTAAGGATCTCCAGAACCTTATCTGATAAGTTTCTAAATTATAAAATGTAACGAAGACCACAAGCAATATTGAAACAGCGGTTACAGTCTCGCGAATCGGTTTGTTTACTATGTTGAAAATGCTCTCAGTGTACTCAAAATATAAGCATTATGATCTCACCTCCGAGTTTAGAGTCTAACCGAGCGATACAAAGGTTAATAGAGCTGTATGTATAACCAGGCCTGTTCATCTCCGCGAGTTTACATCGAAAACAAAACACGCACGATGGCCCACCTACAGGATACTATACGACAAGGCCTCACATACGAGCGAACATTGACTCACGCACGCGTATTCTTGTGTATGATGGAAGAAAATAAAGAAAATGGTGTACTAAATACTGTGCACTATTTAACTGCCTAAATAATAATAAAAACACAGAATGTACTTTTTTAAGTTGCCTCAAGACACTGAGAGGTAAATAAGTAGTTAATATTATTCATGCTAAATCATGTATTTCCTCCGCCATTTTCCGCGGTTTGGCACCTCACGTCACATCATTTTACCGAAGTCAGCCCTATAGCTTCGGCGCAGTGCCGATCACTGACGTTTGTCAACAAAATGGTGCTTGACTCTTGAGACAGGCTAAATTACACCATATTGTTAATGACATTGAGCATACATTTTTTTAAATACCTTCGCGAAGTAAAACTTCTGTACGTAGTACTTATTATTATTCTGTGGTATAACGGCGATGGTGACAATGTCTCTCACCTGTTGTTGGTTATTTGTCCTTTATGGGCTTGGGATTCATACTACTGTGAATAATGTATGACGTAAGCGCTATGATGTTGGAACGTCCTGTGACGTGCCTTATTTTATTGTTTTGGTCTTTTATTAAGGTGCCATTACGTCATCTAGGTATATCGCCTGTTTATGACTGTTGACGAATCTAGATTGAATGGCAGTGAGCTAAGCCAAGTTTGGTCACAAAAGTGGTGCGCCAGGTGTTTCGGAACCATTTCAGGATTTTCAGGCACCTTCTATTTCAGCCGGCCCGTAACTGTAAAATTTATTGAACCTCAAAGTTGTAATTTTCCGTGCTTGTAAGACTGCTCACTTATTATTCTAAAATCCTCACTTTAAATAAATTATACTTGTAAACTTCGGTTTGTGTATAACATAATAGTATTTTAGAATATTAGGATTTATAGATGACCCACGCTGAACTGTCCCACCAAACTCAATGACAGGGGGACGCTACCATCGTTCAACTATATGGTTTCCAACATGGCAAAAATCTGAACCAGCGATCCGGTATTGACGGTGGCGCCCCACTGTCAATGTCATCGACAGGACAGTCCAGTATTTTGGAACTATATTTACGTTACTTCAGCAAAACAAGTACACCCTTACCTTACTCTACTCTTAAATATTTTTAAAGTTTTTAAAGATCTCAAATAAATGGCGCAGAGTGAGTTTCTTGAATGATGTGCATACAAAAGAATTTAAGTAAGTCTTAATTGAATAAGACAATGGCACATAAAAGTAACTTGTGGCATATAATTTTATTTTATTTTATTTGGGATAACAAACAATTGCGCAATATTGCAAATACAACTGCTGAACATATAATGAACTGATAATGTCTTGTAATAGGTGCTATATTGTTACTATTACATAATACCTGCATATTTATCATGTAAAACATGTTTATTCGCGAATAGTTTCGCGAAAACAATGTGTTGTGCCGAAATATGCGGTGCAGGCAGCCCGATGGAATGCTAAGCAGCTCGAGTCCATTTCAGACGAGTGCCGAATGCTAAAGGCTACGTTACATGCCTCGCACTGTTTAGTTCACCGTTATTTAGTGCTAAACTGTTGTCTTATTTGTTTTAATTTGGTGTTTAACCCCTGATTAAAAAGAGGGAGTTACAAGCTAGAGCTTTTGTCTCAAAGAACCAATTTCTTGGCGAGGGCTTCTTTCTTTTCCTATCGAGTGAATAAAAACAACTCAGGTTACAAAATTAGTGTCTGACTAAATGAACTGCCTTGTGTAATGAATTTGTTATTTCGGCCACACATTGATATATCCACAGAAATACACGCAGCTTTTTCACATGTTACTGTATGTATAGTGATTTTAATAAACAAAATATACTTGGGATTCTTTTTCTTCTTTTGTTTATGGCTAGCTCTGGGATATTACGGCCCATAAAGTGACCTCTCACCTTCCCTTCCTAGGATTCTAATGGTGAAAGATTTTTTTGAAATCGGTCCCGTAGTTTCGGAACCTATTCAATACAAAAATCATATCTTTCCTCTTTTTAATATAGTTTAGACTAGCGGCCGCCCGCGATTTCGTACGCGTGGATTCCGTTTTACCCCCTTCATCTATCTTACGCGGTTTAGATTTTTTCATACAAATGTTTTTTCCCGCTAATTCCCGTTCCCGTGGGAATTCCTAAGTATACTATCACCTGCCCAGGAGTATGAAGAATGATTGTACCAAGTTTCGTTAAAATCAGTCGAGTTGTTTTTGTTTCTATAAGGAACATACAGACATTTTGGCATCAGTATCGATCACTAATCACCCCCTGATAGTTATTTTGAAAATATATTTCATGTACAGAATTGACCTCTCTACAGATTTATTATAAGTATAGATTACTTTAGATATCACACACTATACTGTCACTGCCAAGTTCAATATAGACCCTCTTGGATAATTTACAACTTTATTGTGTAGTTTCTTACAGAGTTTCACCCTATTAGTATTCTCACTCAGCTCAAAGCTTCGCTAACCAGTCGAATTAGTTGACTATTTACTTACAATACATTAGCACGTAATGGATAATTTGGAATTACATTATCGGAATGATGTAAGTGAAATCGGTAGGGGTTTTCCCTGACATAAATTTGGAAAATACTAATTATTCTAATTAAACTAATGAAGCGTTTGAATGTAAGCTTGAGTTGGATACATGTGCAAGGAACATGCGAAATTCCATCATTCACTCTCTCACGCACTAATGTGAAAAAATCAACAAAAATCTTAACTATTTTTGTTGGAAAAAAAAACTCATAACTAAACTACGGCATAAAATGCCACAGTGTTTACCATCATCTTTACCTCTGGCTTTCAGGCACCAACGATCGACTGTCTTGGTGCGTTACTCAGTTTAAAGCACAGACATCTAGGCGTTAAGCTATAAATACTGGTATCTTATTTATGTGCGATTTTGTAATAATAGTGAGGATATAAGTAAGTATTTACGACTCGAACTAAACGCCTGCATTTCCTTATTGACGTGACCAGCTGAGCTAACCTCTAAACCTACTGTAAATAACCAACATCGCTTCGAAACTGAGCACAACGAATGCTTCCAAGTCAGGCGGTAAATAAATTATCAGTCAATAATAGTGCTATATTCGGATATGTTCTGTATTTTCAATGGTAGGTACCTATATTTAGCTTCACCTTCGATTTGCCGTATTTTAAGGGGTACCGTGAGAACCTGCTATATTTAACTCCACTGTGATATCTTATCACCGAGCAAACGAAGTTGGATAGCCAACCAATCTGAATGTTGACTTAACTCTGTGAATTAATTTGTTATGTTTGAAATCTTGGTTAAGTTCTGGTTAAACTGCAACATATCACATGTAAACATTGGATATTTACACTGATTTAATAGAATAGTAGTCTTAGGAACTCTAAATTATGGTGATTTTGATTATAGGTAGACTTTTTTAGTCGAATACTAATTATTTATTTATTCGCCTAGCCTTAAAAAAGTCGAAACAGTTATCATCTGAATAGTATAGAGTCCATTATCGACCCTACAAGTGTAAATAAATATTAATCTCAGAATAAATCGTCAGTTTTTACATATTTCCCATACTGAAACAGTCAATGTGCCAGTTACACCAGGAGTTATTCTCGGATAAAAGTTTGGTCGAATCGGGCCTTAATATTCTGCTAGAATCTCTAATATACAATCTGTTTACGTGTTGATTAATCCACGAATATTGATTTTGCTCAGATTATAACTATCACTCATCGTCTTGAGATTGTCTGAAACTCGCAAGTCACTAATTGGCCGAACTAATTACAAGTCGTTCTAGCACGAGCGACATGCCCAAGATATTAGTCGCCACTTAAGGCCGGGTAGCAGAGAAAATGGCGAAAATGAGGTTTTCATTTTTCATTTTTGAGGTACTAAACAGTAAAATTAAAGGCTAAGATTTTTATTGGGCATAGTTGAGGATATTTTCTAGGGCTATTAACGGATGGAAACACGATTTGATGAAGTTGACTCGATAGAATAAATTCCCAAAGTTACCTCTATTCGTTTTCTATTTATGGTTTTCCTCTATTTTACTTAGCTTCTTTTTTCGTTCGTTTCAGCCGAAAGACGTCTACTGCTGGACAAAGGCCTCCCCCAAGGATTTCCACAAAGACCGGTCCTGGCCGTTCGCATCCAGTGTGCATCCAGGCACCTCCCGCGCCAGCTTCTATTTTATGTACCTACTTCGAAAAGATTAAGTTCTCATACAAGACACGTAAAGCAAACAAATAAAAGTTTGTCAGTCACAACCACGGAAAAACAATCAATCCTTAATAGGAAAGTTACATAAAAACAGACATTGGGGAAGCGAATTAGGCTTGTTTGGTGATAAAATTTTAATGTTACAAACAATAGATAAA